TGGTTATTTTGGTAATGTTTCAATGTCACTGGTATCCATCGTAACCCTGTATTTTTTTATTTCATGTATTTCTTAAAGATTTATTTATTTATTTGAAAGCCAGAGTTACACACAGAGAGAAGAGGCAGAGAGAGAGAGAGAGAGAGTCTTCCATTCTCTGCTTCACTCCCCAATTGGCCGCAACAGCCGGAGCTGTGCCGATCCAAAGCCAGGAGCCAGGAGCTTCCTCCAGGTCTCCCACGTGGGTGCAGGGGCCCAAGGACTTGGGCCATCTACTTCTTTCCCAGTAGCAGAGAGCTGGATCAGAAGTGGAGCAGCCGGGACTTGAACTGGTGCCCATATGGGATGCTGGCACTTTGGGTGTAGCTTTACCAGCCACATCACAGGGCCGATCCCAATATTTTTTTTAAAGATTAATTTTTATTTGAGAAGCAGAATTACAGAGAGGCAGAGGCAGAGAAGAGAGGTCTTCCCATCTGCTGGTTCACGTCCTAAATGGCCACAATGGCTGGAACTGGGCCAATCTGAAGCCAGGAGCCTGGAACTTATTCCAGGTCTCCCAAGTGGGTGCAGGGGTCCAAGCACTTGGGCTATCTTCTACTGCTTTCCCAGGCACATTAGCAGGGAGCTGGATGGAAGTGGAGCAGCCAGAAACTTCGATGATGTCCAGTTTATCTAGTTTACATTTGTTGCTTGCTCTTCTGATGTCATTTCCAAGAAATCCTTGCATGATACAAGATCACAAAGGTTTACACCTATATTTTCTTCTAAGGAATGTTGAGTGTTAGTTCTAACATTTAGGGGTTTTAAAATCTACTTTAAGTTAAATTTTATATTTGGTGTGAGATAAAACCCAATCCTAACTCATGTGGCTATCTGTTCCAGTATAATTTTTTTAAAAAAGACTTATTTTGAAAGGCAGAGTTACAGAGTGAGAGAGAGAGAGAAGGGGGCGGGGAGGGAGAGGGAGAAAAATATCTTCCACCTGCTGATTTACTCCCCAAATGGCTGCAATGTCCTGGGATGGATCAGACTGAAGCCAGGAGCCAGAACTAGATCCAGATCTCCCACGTGGGTAGCAGGGGCCCAAGCACTCGAGTCATCCTCTGCTGATTTCCAGGTGCATTGGCAGGGAGCTAAATCAGAAGTGGAGCAGCCAGGACAGGAACCAGTGCTGATATGCGATGTCAGCACTGCAGCTGGGAGCTTTACCCACAGCACTAGTCCAACCCAACATCATTCCTTAAAGACACTCTTCTTTCCCCCATGCAATTTTTTTTGCCACTTTTATATAAATCAATTGACCATAAATATGAGGGTTATTTTTACTCTTGGTTTTATTCTATTGATTTATGACCACGTTTTTCCCAGTACCATACTGGTTTTATTACTATAGCTTTACAATAAGTTTTGAAATTGGGAAATGTTTTTCTTTTCCAAGATGCTTTGGTTTTTGAGGGTCTCTTGAACTTCCAGGTGAATTTTGGGATCAACATGTAAATTTACATAAAGAAATCAGCTAGATTTTGATAGGAATTAAATTGAATCTGCAGGTTAATTTCAGGAGTACCACCACCTTAATCATATTAAATCTTGTGATTCATGAACATTGGATGTCTTTCCATCTTTTTAAGTCTTATCGTGTTTTGTGGTTTTCATGGTTTGCACTGTTGTTAAATGTATTCCTAAGTGTTTTATATATTTTGAAGGTATTATCCATGAAAGTATTTTAATTTTCAATTTACATGATGTTATCATATAGAAACACAATTGATTTTTGCATATTGATTTTGTATCCTACAACTACTGTTCTCATTTATTAGTTCCTACAGTTTCTCTTTTAAATGTATTCCTCGGGATTTTCTGTATATAAGCTTGACAGTGTCACCTGCAAATGAAGATGGATTTATTTCTTCCTTTCTAATCTGGATGCCTTCTGGTTCATTTTTACACTTAACTGTCTTTTGCTAGAATCTCTAGCACAAGGTTAACAGAGGAAGCAAGTGAGAAAACCCTTGTTTTGTTTCTGTACTTAGAGGAATGCTTTTAGTGCTTCAACATGAAGCTATTAGCTATGCTTTTTTTATATAGATGCAATGTATTTTCTTTTGTAAGGAATGGAAAAATAAAGAGAGAATGGGTGAGTTCACGGAAGGGTGGTGCTACAGTTTGCATGTAGTTGAGTGTGTGCCCCAGGGAGTTTGGGTTGACATTTAGGAGGATGGAAACAATCCACCTATGGTATTAGAGGGGAAGTTTCTGGGAGGTTATTAGGAGGAGATACGGACAGAACCCCACAGCCAAATTCTGGTGGCTCTGTAAGGAGAGGGAGAGACACAGGCACCTGTGGATACACCCTGTATCTGGCTGTATAATCTGCTCCACCTCCAAACTCTGACAGCCAGGCCACCTTCAACCCTTCAATCCTGGGCCTCCAGAATGGTGTGTCCCAAATAAACCTCTTTTCACTAAAATTTACCCAGCCTACAGTATTGTTATGGGGGGGGTGTCAAGAGCCAGGTGGAGACCACGGGCCCAACCTTGGGAACGTGGCCACCCGAGGTGGAAGCAGGGCTAGAGGAGCTGCTCACAGGTTCAAAGGAGAGGAGGGCAAGTGGACATATGTTCCAAAGTCACAGGACAGGGACCCTGGAGAATGGCGAAGTCAGGGGTGCGAAGTCAGGGGTGCGAATGGCCAGGGACTTTGGGAAAGATGAAGACTAAAAACAAGTTCTCAGCAACTTTTTGGGTGTTCTTCCAGGAGACTGTTCCAGGGGTCCAGGAGGTCTTGGCTGTTGAGTCCACAGGGAGGGCAGCTGGATCAGAAGCCTTGTCCAAAGGGAAGTGGGCATGTCATCCATGGAGAGGCAGGAAGAGTGGCCCATCCCCAGGTGCAGAACAGATAGCCAGATGGGGGGCGGGACAGAGGGCAGTTTAGAATATGCAAAGTAGGCTGCCAAGTGGGGGCTGGAGGGGAGAAAGTCACCAGGTCCAGGAAGGTACAGGGGATGCTGCCTGGTGCGTGTGCCCACGCATCTTTCTGCAGAGTAACCCAGACTGCCCAGGCCACCACGAGACAACACCATACTGCCTGGGTGGTAGCTCGAACTGCTTCCTGCACTTCTTCAAGTGAGGGCTGGTCCAAGGTACCCCAGCATCACTGAGTTCTTGGTAGATTCCCTTGGCAGGAATCCAGGAGCACCAAGTAAGACACAACTGAAGATGGCACCGGGAAACAGCTAAAAACCCTCTGAGAATGGCACCAGGGAGGCAAGACCTGTTATGTTAAGGCTCGCAGTCCCTCTTGGGGGCCTCTGTTTCAGTTTGTCACTCAGCTGCCACAGTCTCAAAACTTCTAGTGGTTGAACAAGGGACCCAGGTTTTCACCGTCACGGTGCACTGGATGCTGTTATGACAGCTAGGGCTGTCCTGTCTTGTGTCTCCTCCTTCCAGGAAATTTTCACTGGGGTTCTGCTCCCATGGGAAACCACGCCCGCTCCAGGACTGGCTGCACCCCCGGCCAGCCCTGCTGCAGCGCCCACCTCCCTGGGCAGGCTGTTTGCAACCAAGTCACGACCAGTGGCTCGGCCAAAGCAGCCCGATTTCCTCATCTCCAGGGGTTTCTGCTCCAAGTTGCTGGAGCTCAGACCTCAGCATCCAGCTGCACTCCTGCGCTGTCCTCATTGGTGAGATGGGGGCAGCCCCCAGGCGGGACGCTCCTGTGGAAGCCCCGCAGGGCACAGCGCTCAGCCTCCACCCCTGGGCACCGGGTCGGGCTGTCCACGCCCCGCCCCTGCGGTCACTGCCGGTCAGTACAGCCCGATCCCCTCTCCGCCCAGCCCGGCGCTTGTCTTTGGCACGTGAAGATGCCACACAGCCCTGGTCCCTTTTGAAGCCTGAGCTCTGTTGGCCCAGGGAGACCCGACGCGCAGCCACGGAATCCACGCGGGGCCAGGCCCCTGCGCTCCCCACACTCCTAACCCTTGTTCGCTGGACAGGTTTTGAGACCTCCAATTTCTTTGGTTTCGTCTGGAGTTCAACAGCGCCGCCTCCTGGTGCTTGGTCGCCAGTGGCCCGGGGTGGGCAAATGACCAGATGAACTCCAGGTGGGCGTGCTTGCTTGCTTTATTTATTTATTTATTTTAACGGGTTTGTCTTTCTCTGTGAGCTACATATTGGACACACCCCTCCGCATTCCTAGTGAGTGAATACCCGTGATAAGGTGGAAAGCGACAGACCCTGCCGCCCACCCACGGCGCCGCCCGGCGTCCGCAAGTGGCACTTCCACGGCCGCCCGGTGTCCATTCGGTCTCAGGGCGGAAACGGTTCCCCGAGGCGCCCCCTGGGGCCCACAGCGCCTCCCTGCGACCTCCGTCAGGGGTGCCAGAAGTTGGACACGCACAGCCCCGGATGGGTGCGCTCCGCGACTCGCCAGCCCCCAGGGGTGCATCTGCAGCGCAACAGCAACCTCGCGGCTTTCCCACGCTGCCAAGCGGCGCTGTGGCCTCGGCCGGCCCGCCCCGCCCCGCCCCGCCCCACCGCGCCCGCGCCTCCCTACCCGGGAGCCCTGGCCCCGGGAGGCGGGCGAGGCCTGGCTCCCTCTCCTAGTGGACTCCGGTTGTCTTTGAGCAGGGCACCAGGTCTCCAGAACCGCGAGGTCCCCGGCGCTCACGCCCCGCTCCCACGCCCATTGGAAGCAATCCAAGCTGGCCTGCAAGTCCGCGTGAGCGTTCACGAAAACTAGCCAAGAGAACCGAAAGTTTGGGGAGGGGCCGCACGCGTCGGGGGCGGGCCCGCGGTCTCGGGGCTCCACCCGGGCTGGGTTTACTCATCCCCACGAGGTGATCCCAGGAGCGAGGGCGGGCGCAAGGCGTCCAGAGGACCCAGTAATCCGAGAATGCAACATCAGCCCTTCCCACCAGGCACTTCCTTCCTTTTCCCGAACGTCCAGGGAGGGAGGGCCGCGCACTTATAAACTCGCGCCCCGGCGGCCGAGCGGCGTGTCAGAGGCAGCCGCGCCGGGGCCAGAGAAGCGCCCGTCCGGGACCGACCGCAGCGGCTGCCCCCAACGCCCCTCCGCCCCGGCCCGGGCCGCGAAGCAACGCTCGCGCTTTCTCCGGCGGCGCCTGCGCGCGGTGCGCCCCGGCGGCATGCTCCGTGCCCTGCTCCTGCTGCTGGGCGCGCTGGCCCCGGCCGGTCTGGGGCTCCCGACGCACGCAGAGCCGCAGCCCGACGGCAGCCAGTGCGTGGAGCACGACTGCTTCGCTCTGTTCCGGGGCCCCGCGACCTTTCTCGCCGCCGGCCAGACCTGCGAGCGCCTGGGGGGCCACCTGATGACCGTGCGCTCCTCAGTGGCCGCTGATGTCATCTCCTTGTTGCTGAGCGACGACAGCCCACGCCTCTGGATTGGCCTGCAGCTCCCGACCGGCTGCAGCCACCCCGGGGACCTCAGGCCCCTGCGCGGCTTCCAGTGGGTGACCGGAGACAACCGCACCAGCTACAGCAGGTGGGCGCGGCAGGACGGCGGCGGCGCGCCAGTGTGCGGCCCGTTGTGCGTCACCGTCTCGGCCGCGAGCGCCGCTGCCCCCGGCGAGCCGGCCTGGGAGGAGCTGCCGTGCGGCACTGAAGTCGACGGCTTCCTCTGCGAGTTCCCCTTCGCGGCCTCATGCAGGCCCCTGTTGGTGGAGGCCGGCGCCGCGCCGGCCACGGCGCCGCACGTCTCCAGCACCTACAGCACGCCGTTCGGGGCCCGCGGCGCCGACTTCCAGGCGCTGCCCGTGGGCAGCTCGGCCGCCGTGGCACCGCTCGGCTTGGAGCTGACCTGTTACGCGCCGCCCGGGGCCGCCGAGGCGCGCTGGGGCCGGGAGGCCCCGGGAGCCTGGGACTGCAGCGTGGGGAACGGCGGCTGCGAGTTCGCGTGCAACGCGAGCGCTGGGGCTCCCCGTTGCTTGTGCCCGGACGGCGCCGCCCCGCAGGCCGACGGGCGCTCCTGCGCGCCCGCTGCGCCGCCCTCGTGCCACGACCTGTGTGAGCACTTCTGCGTGCGCACCTCGGACGCGTCCGGCTCCTACATGTGCATGTGCGAGACCGGCTACCGGGTGGCAGCCGACGGGCACCACTGCGAGGACGTGGACGACTGTGCCCTGGTGCCCAACCCGTGTCCGCAGCTCTGCGTCAACACGCAGGGTGGCTTCGAGTGCCACTGCTACCCCGGCTTCGACCTGGTGGACGGCGAGTGCGTGGAGCCCTTGGACCCGTGCTTCGGCACCAACTGCGAGTACCAATGCCTGCCGCTGGGCCAAAACTACCGCTGCATCTGTGCCGAGGGCTTCGCCCCGGTCCCGGACGAGCCGCACCGCTGTCAGATGTTCTGCAACCAGACGACGTGCCCGGCCGACTGCGACCCCAACTACCCGAGCACCTGCCTGTGCCCCGAAGGCTACATCCTCGACGAGGGCTCGCTGTGCGCCGACATCGATGAATGCGACAACGGCTATTGCCAGGACGAGTGCCGAAACCTCCCCGGCAGCTACGAGTGCATTTGCGGGCCCGATTCGCCCCTGGCTGGCCAGGTCAGCACTGAATGCTACCCTACGCAGGTGAGCGACGGCGGCGACGGCGGCGACGACGGCGGCTCCGGAGAGCCTCCAGGCTCCGGGGCGCCCGGCTCCACCCCGGCTCCGCCGCCGGCCGCCGGGCCGGTGCACTCAGGCGTGGCCATCGGCATCTCCATCGCCAGCCTGTCCCTGGTCGTGGCGCTCCTGGCGCTCCTGTGCCACATGCGCAAGAAGCAGGGTTCGGGGCGCGCCGAGCTGGAGTACAAGTGCGCGTCCCCTGCCAAGGAGGTGGTCCTGCAGCAGGTGCGGACCGAGCGGACGCAGCCCAAGCCTTGAGGGGGAAGGGAGCCCCTCCCTCCGCCCCCGCGCGCGCTCCAGGCCTGCCCTTGGCGCGGCCCTGACTTCCCTCCGGAGCGCCACCCCACCGCCCCTGTCTGGCTCCCTGGGCTGGCGCCACACCTGCGGAAGAGCCTCTTCGCCCTGGCTGAGAATCTCGCCGATTGCTTGTGTTGAGTTGGGCGGGTTGGGGGGGTCGTGAGGAGGCGGAGCCCCAGCCTTTGCCTGGAGGTCACCGACGCCCCCCTCCCCAGCCCTGCCCAGCTGCGCTGCCTGGAGACACCCGGACTACAGGGTCCCCCAAGTCACCTACGCGGGGCGCGGGAGGGGTGAGGCAGACTGGGTGGTGACCTTCAGGGCGGACCTTGACCCCAAGGGCTAGTGATGACCAAGATATTTATTTTTGTAAAACGTATTTGGGGCCCCTTTTTCTACCTGTGTGTTTCCAATGCTCGCTTTTCATCTCCCGCCTCCATCCTTGTCCACCCCCCCCCCCTACACACACACCTTGGTGGCAGTTACACCGTCTTGGTGAACATTCCTCTCCCAGCTCCCGGGCTCTGGGCTCTCTTACATATAGAAAGCCAGGTGCCCCTTTGCCCTTGACTCATGGTCCTCGTTTCGCCTCCCAGGACGTGAAGCCAAAGCACCCCAGTCTCCCCACCTGTGCGAAAATAGGTGGGCAGTTGCGTTTTGCTCCAGACTTGCTACTTTATTCCAAAGTTTCAGGCCTGCAGGACAAAGCAAGGAAGGAGAAAACGTGAGAAGAATTCGTTCCGTTAACCTTGCTGAGCTGGCCAAGAAATGAAACCCTAGCAGGTTTTTTTAGAACTAGTGAGCCTGAGTTCTGTGATTGTTATCTTTGTGATTTGGACTGAAAAAAAAAATGGTGATTGTTGTAAGTTTTTTTACGCCGGTTTCTTTTGTCGTTATTATTAGTGCTTTTCGACAGTGTTAAAATGTTCCGATGTGTTCTTTAGAATGAGAGAAGAGAAGAAAAAAGCAGCTCCCCGGAGAGTTTTCAGCTGCATGATTCATCCTGGTTATCGGTTTGAGTCTCTTGTCACTTGCTGGCCAAAATAAAACCGGTTTTGCTGGTTGTGGGGGATTTGGAAGCCTGAGATTGGAGCCTGGAGGATGCCTCATTAGGGCCCGTCCTTAATGAGGCCCTTGGAGAATTGCTCCTGCTTCACTGGAATGTGGTCCCTGGACCAGAATGGAGCTAGTTAGAGATGCAGAGTGCTAGGCTCCACCCCTGGAATTCCTGGTCCCTCGGCATCGGAGCAAGGGCTGCCTGCTGGGTAATCTGACAACTGTTGTGGCAGGCAGCTTCCAAGTTTCTGCAGCACGTTAACTGTGGGTCAGAAATCAGTAGCAGGCCGAGTCTGGCCCTTTCTCAAGAAACTGAGGAATTTGCATCGCTTAGCTTTGCCTTCCGCCAGAAAGGACTCGGTACACACCTGGAGCCTTTGCCGCCCAGGGTGGAGGAGAAGGCCGGTGGCTGGGCTGAGCTAGCCATGTGTGGAAATAATGTATGGTATAAGTGCATCTTGTCAAACAAAGGTTTTCCTCTCCTATGTCATAAACTCAGCACATTTGTACATAGTTATTTATTTATTGGAGTTAAACTAGAACACAGGCAAAACCCTTGCTATGATGTCACTTGTACAAAATAAACAGATTTCAGCGTGCTCTTGGGTTCTGTGTCTCTGGCCAACGTCCCCTCGTCCAGGCCCCTCATTTGCTGCCGTTAAAAGGAAGACTCGGCAGCAGCGCCAAAGCCATCAGCTGCACACTGCCTGGGGCAGGGGAGTACCTCCAACTGTTATAGAACTTTCCAAAAGAGATGATCTTTCATGGCAAGAGGATTTCTTGTTATCTCCATAGGCACAAACATTTGCTTTTTTCCTGTGTAACCATAACAGTTCCATGCGCCAGGCCTTGTTCTGTGTTTGGACAAATACGTGGCAGGATCATTGGTTGGGATGAAAGAAAGAATATATCTCAGCGGAGTTGTAGAACCACTGCTGTGTGTATGTCCCCTGTATATGGCTTAGCGGTCTCCAACTTCATGTCAGGTACCCAAACCCAGGGTGGTCAGGCAGAGTCTGTGGCTCAATTCAAGTGACAGTCTCTAAATGCCAACGTCTCATCTAGAATTAAATTCGGCTCATCTCTGTTGGGACACTGTCATCCATCTTCAGATCCCTTGGGCCTGTTTTTTTTTTTTTTTTCTGAAAAGGTAGAATTGGCTGACTTCTTTATATGCAGAGATATGAAAGTAGGGGCTGGCCTTTGAAGTGTAGCAGGTTAAGCTACTGCCTGCAAAGCCAGCATCCCCTATGGGCATCAGTTCGAGTCCTGGCTGTTCCACTTCCCATCCATCTCCCTGCTAACTTGACTTTGAAAAGCAGTAGAGGGTGGCCCAAGTGCTTGGGCCCCTGCTACCCACATGGGAGACCCAAATGAAGCTCCTGGATCCTGGCTTCAGCCTGGCCCAGCCCTGACTGTTGCAGTCATCTGGGGAGTGAACCAGTGGATGGAAGACCTCTCCCTCCCTCTCTTTCTCTGTTTCTCCCTTTCTCTCTCTCTGTAACTCTGCCATTCAAGTGAATGCATAAATCTTTAAAAAAAAAAAAAAAAGGATGAAGTATTCATAAAGCAGACATGCAAAGAAACAGTTTTGCCAAATACTCAGATATTTTTCTACATCTGGATAATTCTGAGCTTCTGTGTTTTAATCTGGGCAGTTACTGTCGTGAAGATGGACCGTGGGTTTCAACACGCAGCCCAGATGAGGTCTACAGCATTAGCGTAGCAGGTGGGAGGAGGGGCTGTTATGCACTTTGTCCTGGGTCCTGTGGATCTGCTATATCCAGCAGCACTCCCAGTAAGGAATGCAGTAATCTATGCGAAGGAAGATGCCACTGAGCAAGCCAACAGGTGCAGACAGAGAGAAAAATATCCCAGGGGCAAGAGGGTAAGGGTCAGGCAGCTGAGTGCGGTTCCAGCCTTTCCCTGGGGTGGGAGGGCTCACATGGCCACAGATACCACATGCACCCATCTAAGGTGCGTGACAGGGTGCTAGCAGGGCCAGCGCACAAGGTTTGCAGGATGACTGGAAGAGGTGAGTGAGCAGTTTCTGACACATAAAAGGTGTCTGCTTTATACTGCTTGCCTACACGCATGAGGAATTAGCGGCTGCATAAGTGGCTAACGGTTCTGTTGGAAGTGTGACTTTCGAGGGCAAATTCAAGGTTGTGCGGAAAATTGGAAAGCGTGCTTTTAAAGGCAAAGATGCAGTGACCCAGGGAAGGATGCTGTGAATCCTGGAGGGACCTTACTGGTGGCACTGGGGTGTTGGTCACAGCCGGAGGAGTCTGCCCCACACTGTCCTCTGTGCAGGGTGCCCAGACCTCCTGGGTGTCTTCCGGAGAAACCACAGAGAAGGGGGTGTCCCCCCTCCCCTCTCCCGCCCTCGACTCCAGGAAACCCTAAGCAGCCCAGGGAGCAGCCGGGCTTCCGGTCTCCAGCTGCAGGTGACACCTGCCTGTGATATCATGGTGGCAGAAGAACCCTGGCTTCCAGCGTGAGGAACTCATGTGGCTCTCGGGTGAAAAGAGAGCCCATGATTACATCCTCCATTCAAGGAGATCTGAGGTTAGGAAGAACGCAGAGAAACACATTTTTAGCAGGGTCACGGCTCGGCAGGGGGCAGCCAGCCTCCCTGGAAAAACACATCCCATGGCCTTTGCAGGCATTTCTTCCTGAAATAATACAGGCAACACCCAATCCTACTTTATTTCTGTTCCAGAATGAACGCCCCGGCTCAGTGCTGTCTCTTTTTGTTTTGAGTGGGTCCTTCCTCCATTTTTTTTTTGTCAGCAGGTTCAGATGTAGGCAAACAACTGATTTCCTCTTGCAAGAGAAACCAAATATTTTTCTAACATTAGATTCTAACGGAATCCAATCCTTTTTTCAGCCTGTTGGGCAAAGTATGGTTGCCCAAGACAAAAGAATCCTGTGGAGTGGGGGGAGCTCTAAAGTCATGGCCATTGGCAAGAGAAAGCAGACAGCAGGCAGGGGGCTGCAGGGGTCCCAGGAAAAAACACTTGGGATTTCAAGGCGGGCTCTGGGACAAGAATGCCACCCAGGCTGGGACCTCGACCCGCAAGAATTGTTAGAATTGGAAACGGAGTGGCTGGTGTTATCCTGCGAGGGAAACCCTATCCTATTCTGGAAGCTTCTGTGCATCCTTGACCCCCTCACGGCTCCCCTGATTGAAGCTGCCCACCCCCGCCCCCCACTACAGTTAGCTAACCTGGATAATGCAGTCTAGCCCTCCCTGCTTGATTGAATGGAATCCAGCCAACCTGTGCCACTCCCACAGCAGCCCCTCATTCCACCCCTTCCCCCTTCTCTCCCCCCCCCCCCCCGCCTTGACTCAGTTCCCTAGAGAACAGGAATCTCACCTTCCACAAACTTGTGCACTGTGGACCTCATTGTGAGAGCGTGCTTACCAACAGGTTTGCTGTGCAATGGTAACAGGAACCCAAGCCATCATGCGTTGTAATCCCTTGAGAGGATTTGACTCCTGTCTTTCTTCAAATGGTTTTGCCCTCTGCCTAATGCATGGTCCTGCACTGTCTTTATCTGTTTTCTGTCGCCATAACTGAGCACCACAGACCGAGTCATTTGGGAGGGATAGAGGCTTATTGGGTTTCTGGATCTGGTTGCAGGAAGTGCAAGAGCATGTTGGCTTCTGGTGTGGGCCCTCTTGCTGTATCATAACAGGACCAAGGCCATCAAGTGGTGAGACAAGGGTGCCTATTTGGGTTTCTCTTTTCTTGTGGAGCTGTAATCCTGGGATGCCACCCTCTTCCTAATTACCTCTCAAAGGCCCCACCTCTATTAGCATATGAATTTGAGGATTAAGTTTCCAACCCAGGGACATTCAAACCACAGCAGGCAGAAGTCCAGCAGTGAAATTAAGAGGAAAGTTTAGGTCCAGGAGGGAGTGCGCTGAGTCCAGGCCTCTCCGCAGCTCTCCAGAGCAGGAGATGCTGCCATGATAAACACAAAACTGAAATGGGGACAGCAGCACAGTCCCAGCGAGCCCCTCACCAGAGGCTGTCCCTGCCTCTCCTGGGACAAAGACCCAAATCCTTAAGCTGCCTTACAAGGTATGGCTGCTCCTACTCCTCTGTGGTGGCCAGCTGCCTCCCATTGACCTGGCGTCCTGTCCAGCCCATCTGGTTCACATTGGGCACTTTGGGGCCTCCTGCTGCAGGCCCTTTGCACGTGCTGTTTCTGCCGCATGGAGCCCTTCACACCCTGGGCCCCACCCTTCTCCTCTCCTCCTTAATTCCTGCCTGCTCTTTGTCACGAGGGCAGGTTCTGTCTTGGATCCTTTTGTAGAAACCAGATTTCTCGCCCGTGTGGATCTCACTCAGTTTAAAATCATACTCCCATGTCTGTGGTTATTTGGTGAATGCCTCTGTTTTGCCCCTAACCTACAAGCTCCATGAGGGCAGGGCCTTGGCTGGGTGTCCTGAAGCCAACAGAAGTAGGGGGTGGGGGGATCCTTTGTGGGAATACAGCCACAGCCACCTGCTTGCAGACCCCCAGGCAGAGCTGCTTGGGGAGTGGTGCTGACAGAGTCCTCTCAGCCAACTCAGCCATTCTGGCCCCAGGGACAATGAGGCCCTGCTGTGGTTGACTTAGGGAACCACAGCATGGTGGGTGGGGGTCTTCCACAGCCTCCCACCTGTCAAAGAGGAACTCACAACTAGTGAATGAGTGGACCCTGAGGCAGCAAAGACAAAACATGCCCCATGTGGTTTACCTTTCTCATCAGCCTGTCATAGCTCAGAAAATGCCAGGGATGGGATTTTCCAATCAAGGTGAAGCGAGAGAGTATAGGTGAGCATGAAAGGAGTGTTCTTGTCTCTACTCAAAGATAGGCAAGAGGGGTGGTGCTGTGGTGTCGTGGGCTAAGCCTCCACCTGCGGCATTGGCATCCCATATGGGCACCGGTTGGAGTCCCAACTGCCCCTCTTCTGATCCAGTTCTCTGCTATTGCCTGGGAAAACAGTGGAAGATGGCCCAAGACCTTGGACCCCTGCACCCATATGGGAGACCCAGAAGAAGCTCCTGGCTCCTAGCTTCGGATTGGCTTAGCTCCGGCCATTGTGGTCATGTGGGGAGTGAACCAGCAGATGGAGGACCTCTCTCTCTCTCTCTCTCTCTGCTTCTGCCTCTCTGTGGCTCTGCCTTTCAAATAAATAAATATTTTTTTTTAAAAAAAAAAAGGCCATTTCAACAGGAGAAGCCACTTCTCTGGTGGACTGCAGTATGCCTGGAGGCAGAAACTGTTTCCACTTGTGTTGAAGTCAAAAGCCCAGATACCTTCCCAGCCATCCAGGTGCAGTCCACTGCTGGGCTCCTGGGCAGGTGGAGTGTATAAGCAGCCCCCTGGTTCTTGACTGTAGGGCTCTGTGGTTTTGATTCGCTACATTCTTGCTGCACACGAACCACAATGCTTGACACAACAAGACCCTCGGGCTGATGGCCACTAAAGCGGGTAGTGCTGCTGCTGGGTTCTAAATCTATCCCAGACAAATGCTGGGGAGGCTTTGCCCTCCACCGCCTTGCCCTGGAGGTAGTTAAGCCTTGAGAATGGACCAGGATATGCCGCTGAAGAATAGGACAGTTATCCGGGCTCCCCCAGTCTCCCCTCCGCTTCATGTTTCATTGCTACAAGGTCAAGGGCAGTGCTGGGGAAAACACTGGGCATAGAAGAATGCCCCTCACTCACCCTCTCTGTTAGCAACAGGGCTTAGACCTGGAAAGAACTCAAGACTTAGCAGCTTCCTCTGAGCAGACTTCTTGCAGGAAACTGGGGCTTCTAGGGTTAAATCACTGCTCCCCAGACCAGGTTGAAGCTGAGGTCCCCCTGCCACCCACCATGATACCTTCTGTCCCCTGATACCTTCTGTCGCTGTGCTGTGAAACTGCCTCTCCTCCAACCATCACGAACTAAGTTAAAAGCTTGCACTTTTAAAACAGTGCATGCATTATTCAGTGCTAATCTGAGCAGATTTGCCAAGATTCCTGGCAGGTGCGAATGGGAGGTCTTGGGAGGCTGAAGAGAGGGGACTCTACGCCCTACCCAAGCTGTGGCTGAGGTCCTGCACCCGCGGTTCACTGTGATCATAGCCAGAGCTGGGAAGCCCTCACCTCACTGCTGTCTTCCTGGGTTCTCCTCGAAGCTCAATTTGGCCTCATTTTCTGTGTGTCTGTCCCGCCAGGCACTGCCGGGCACTGGGGAATAAAAAGCCACAGCTGACTGTGAAAGGTTACTCATAAACATAGGGACTCCCCTACTCTGGGTGCCAACATCACACTGTAAAGAACAAACAGATTAGGCACAGTTGATGTTTGTATGTGTGTGCACGTTTGCATGTGTGTGCATTGCATGTGTATATGCACACATGTGTGCATGCATGTGTTGTGGTGATCAAAAGATTCTGGACACACTGGGTCAATGCTGACCACCACTCTCAGATCTTTCTTCTGGCTGGCCACTGGGTAAGGATCCCACAGCTGTGTGCCCAAAGACAATCAAGGCAAAGCCTCCTTTTCTTTTCTCATTTTTTTCAGGAAGGAATTGGAATCCACAGCTGTACAGGGACTCTTAGGGGTCCCCATAGGCTGGTCCAGGGTTGGGTCACTGGCCAAGGTCATGTGCACTTGTACATAGGACCAGAGTTCAGCTGCCCTGTTTCCTACATGCCAGGTAGATGCTCCCATCACGGCAAACTCTGGCTCTGGTCCAGATTCTTCAGGGCGGGGCTGCATTCTGCTTCTTCCTGGCTCACGTGGAAGAAGATTTCCTCCAGCCCAGCGCTGCCCCCTCTGGCCCTGGGCTATCTCCATTAGCCTCCCAGCAGCCCTTGCCCACCCACCCTGGAGCCTCTGCCGGCTGCCCCAGCAGTCTGAAAGCCATGTCTGTAGGGCTGACAGGTGCAGAGTGATCTCTCTTGAAACCCCTCTGCCAGGAAGCCAGGGGAACTACAAAGCTGACCACTTGGAAGGGCAGAGGGGCCCGCTTTTTGCTGCCCTGCCTCTTCCCTCCAGGTAACATCAGGACTGGGGCGGCCCAGCCCAGTACCCATCTTTTGCTATGCTGTGCCCAGTAGAGCCTCCTCCACAGCACCGCACGCACGTGTAGTCACACATTTTCACTCCGGCTGTCAACATGAGTAGCACAAGCCTCTCCCTCGCCCCCTCCTCTGCTTTCCACGGGCAACAGAATGAAAGCACCTACCTCTTCAGCTGACATTTTCCTTTGGGAAAAGATCACTTATGCTTTGCTTAACACAGGCCAAAAGTTATGGCCTCCATGCGAATATCTGTATCCAGCTGGCTTTACATAGAATGTTGACATTTTGAAAGAGTGGGTGGAGGCCAGCGCTGTGGTACAGCAGATTAAATCCTCCGCCTGTGGTGCCGGCATCCCATATGAGTGCCAGTTCGAGTCCTGGCTGCTCCACTTCTGACCCAGCTCTCTGCTATGGCTTGGGAAAGCAGTGGAAGATGGTCCAAGTCCTTGGGCTCCAGCACCCATGTGGGAGACCTGGAAGAAGCTCCTGGCTCCTGGTTTAGGATCAACTCAGCTCTGACTGTTGTGGTCATTTGGGGAGTAGACCAGTAGAGGGAAGACCTCTCTCTCTCTCTGGCTCTACTTCTCCCTGTAACCCTGCTTTTCAAATAAATAAAATAAATCTTAAAAAACAACAAAAAAAAAAGCATGGGTGATGGGGCTGCCTCTTCTCTCTTATTTCCATTGATCCACACTTGCTGTCTTCTGCACCTCCTGGAGGCACTCCCACTCACCACCATGGCATAAACGGAAACCTCAATGAGAGGCCATGTTCCCACATCCAAGAATCAGGGGCAAAAAGAAAAAAAAAATCATCACATCACAGGAGCCTGATGACATTTTGTCCTCTCTGCTTTTTTATTACAGACCTTGTTTAATGCTTGCAACAAACCCCACACCCTATCTCTCCAAATCTTCAACCAACTCCAGGGAAGCCTAAAGGGACCCATGACAACCCAGGAAGACACTGGCAATGACAGGCAAGTGTTTGGCCTTGGGGGAGGGGTGGGGTGTTGGGAATAAAGCCTCTGCCCCAGGCTGCTCAGAGAAATTTCACTTAGCAACAAGAGCCTAGGAACAGAACTGAAGGGAGTGAGCTCTGAGGCATCTCCTTCCTCCCTCTCTCTCCATACCCATTGCACTCTCACCACCAGGCTGAGTCTGCAGATAGAGCAAGGGCACTGCCTGCCTTCACCATCCCGGCCCAGGGGCTACCCCCAAGCCAGCCCTATAAGTCACACAGGCAGTTGGCCGTCTCCCTCCAGTCACCTTTTTCTTCCCAGTCCACAGCTGCAGAGCGATCCACCCCCTGGCTCAGTTCCCTAGGGGAGTGTTACCCTCACCGAGGTGTCCTGGAAGCTAGGGTCCCAGAAAGGAGCATAGTCCTGAGGCTGCAGGTTGCTGGCCTAGAGATGATGCTCCGGTGGCGACAGGTGCTGCTCCTTAAGGGTACATCCAGGAGGTGCCACTTGCGGGACTGAGAGGTTGTTCAGACCCTGGGGAGGTGGCCGCTGGTGGGAGGAGGAAGAACTTCAGAAGGTGGTGGTTCCGGTGAGCGGGATGGGCTTGCGGTTGGGTTCTGGCTGTGCCGGCTCCTGCTGGCAGGGCAGCGGCGGGCAGATGCACCCTGCCCCACCTCTGCTCTTGAGAGCCGTGGCGTAGTAGTCCAGGGGCTCCTCCTCAGCGCCGCCGGCGGCATCCAGGAGGCAGCAGCGCAGGCAGAGGACCCGCTGGAAGGAGCGGCGGAAGTTGTCGGAGAGGAAGCCGTAGAGAATGGGGTTGGCGCAGCTGTTGGCGTAGCTGAGGATGAGCGACACGTGGTTGACGGTGGCATCGAGGCTGCTCACGAACAGGTTCAGCAGCTGCACCACGTAGAAAGGCATCCAGCAGAGCACGAAGACGGCCACCACCATGAGCACTAGCCTGGTGATCTTCTTTTCCGAGCGCCTGCGCTGCTGCCAGCCGGCGCGCAGGGCCACAGCGCGCATCTTGCCCACGATGAGCAGGTAGCAGAGGCCGATGGCCAGCACCGGCAGCAAGAAGCCCAGCAGGAAGGTGTAGACCACGAAGACCGCTGACCAGGCTGGGTGCGGCCAGTGCAGGTTGCAGGCCACAGAGCGGCCGCCGCGCACGGGCCTGGTGTCGGCGAAGATGGCAATGGGCAGCGTGACCAGCAGGGCGGCCAGCCAAACGCCCGCGTTGACCAGCTTGGCCACGCGGGGCCGCCGGTAGGTGGCGGCGCGCAGCGGGTGCACCACGGCCACGTAGCGGTCCACGCTGAGCACGGTGAGGCAGAAGACGCTGGTGAACATGTTGAGGCCGTCCACGCTGAGCACCGCCCGGCATAGCGCCGCGCCGAAGGGCCAATGGCGCAGGGCGGCCGACGACGCCACGAAGGGCACGCTGAGCATGAACAGCTCATCGGCCACGGCCAGGTTGAGCAGGTAGATGTTGGTGGCCGTCTTCATCTTGGCGTAGCGGAGGATCACGAAGATGACCAGCGCGTTGCCCACCAGGCCCACCAGGCACACCAGCGCGTAGATGCATTGGATGGCGATGGTGCCCACCGGCCCGGCGCCGTCGGGCCCCACCGCCCCCTCCTCCTCGAGTGGGGCGCGGCTGCCGTTGGCCGGGGACGGCCAGGCCGTCTCCAGCACTTCCTCGGCCCCAGGGGGCAGCGTCGGGGGCGCGCTCATGCTTAGGGTAGCCTGCCCTGGCGGGCGGCTAGCGGCGCAGCAAGCGCTGGCGGCGGGGTCTGGGTCTCTCGCGCACACGCGCGACTCCGCCTGCACAGCAGCGGTTGGCACCGCCCGGGTCTCCCACCGATCCCCTCCGCACCCCGGGGCGCTCTCTGGTCCCGCCCCGTTTTCCCACCGGTTCGCCGCTCCCCCGCCTCCCAGGTCTCCAGCCTTGCCCTCCCGGATCCCGGCCAACCTCCTAGTCTCGGATGCTGTCTTCCCCAGCCCTCGGCGGTGCGCTGGGCTGCGGTGCGCTGGGCTGCGATGCGCTCCTGGACCTGGCGCCGCGGAGCTGGCTGGCGTGGGTAACGAGGCGCGCGGGATCGGAACGGCATCATCCCGGGTGCGCGCCGCTCTTGCTCCGCGCTTGACACCCCACCCCCGCCCCCGCAGTTGTCGCGGCCACGGATCCAGTCCTGAAGTCGGCTTTATAGAGAGGCGGGACCTGAGATTTCCTTGGCGAACTCCGGATCTGGGCTGGCGGGGAGGGGGGTCCCAATTTCTCCTCCGCCTCCTCTCTCTTCCCAGCCGCCGACCGCTGCGGACCCTTGAACTTTTCCGTGAGCGCTGTGTGCGGTGGAGGTGTGGCGGGCGCAGGGGCTGGGGATGCACACGCAGTGGCACAGACCCCCAAACCACAACAATTCTCTGCCCGCCTGGCGCTGCTCAGTGCGGCACAGGTGGCAGGTGTCGGATCCAGGGGACAGGAGTGCCTCACCTCTGACCCAACGCCTCCTCGGAGGGCTCCGGTTGTCGGGAAGAGTTGGGGTTTTGACCCGGGCCACCTCGCTCCCAGACTTACAGCGTGAGCTCCCTGGATCCCTTCATCACCAGGAAACCAGCAAGTGGTCACAGCCCCAGCCCTTGGGCTACACATGGCGCTGAACTGGGAACAGTGGGGGTTTGCCTTGTAGGATTATTCTCAAAGCAACCCTTTAACCCTGACTGGCCAAGAATCCCACCTCTGAGCCCTGCTCAGCTCCAGAAGGCCTTTGGAGGGTCTGGAAGTGACCTCCCCACCCCCAAGCTCACTTGGAGGGGGTGTCCCAGGTCCCACTCTGGAGGCTGGGGAGGGCGCCAGGATGCTGGAGGCCCAGCGGGAGGAGGTCTTTCTCTGGAGCTGAAGGCTTGGGATGGGGGTCACAGGTGAGCCTGGCACCATGCCCCACCATGGTTGGCCCCAACCCCTGTCCGCAGGTTCTGACACCCAGATGGATTCGTTGAAAGCATCCTCCTCCTTGATATTCGCTCCTTACATTGGTCTATCCTTTACTAGGCTTCCATTCATGGGACCCATCCCCAGGAAGGGGAAAGTGATGGCACTTTGCATTAGAGGTCTAGGTGTTTCAGGGGAAGGAGACTCAGGGGGCCTCGGATTTGGGTGGGAGGAGGAGACGAGGGACTTTTGAACTCTGGACTCTGCCGAAGACCCTTCGACAACAGGTGCAGATGCCGGTGGCTGTCCCATCTCCAGGGGCCCCTTCCCTCTGATACCCTCTTAGCCCCTGGGGAGCTCAACCCTTCCTTTTCTGCCTATTTTCCCCCCTGTTTCTGTTCCCACTGTGTCCTCAGCCTGCATCCCAGTCACCCCATGCATTCCTGTACCCCACCTAAAAGCAAAGAGAGCTGGCTCTTAGTAAGGTACGGAGGCATTCCTGTCTTATGTGGTTGTTGGAGACACTCGGTAAGCAGGTCATGTTCATGAACTTGGAGGATATAATATTGTGAACAGCCTAACCCAGGATCCCTGGAGTCCTGGGGGACGTGGGGGTCATGGAGTTGGAGCATTTCTTCATTCATTCATTTAGTCCACAAGTAGTAATGGAAAATACCAGTCCATGCCAAGTATGGCCATGGGGCAGTATGCAAAGGATTTCACTAGCTACCTCATTGCGAGATGATGGCCTATTGTGTCCAGGGCTGCCGGGACCCTGTAACTGTCACCATCATCCTAGCAGGCAGACAAATATCAAAGGGTGTGGGATCATGGAGGAGAGGTATGTCTTGTATGTCTTCCATACAAGGCTTTGCAGAGTAGCTAACAAAGAGTGAGGGATGGCCGTGGCAGTGAGAGCAGAGGCGGCCTCCAGAGGACGAAGATACCTGGGGGAGCGGAGAGAGCATGGTGTGCCTGGTGGGCAGTTAGGACTGCAGAGTGGGGTCCCTTGCGTGCCTAGTGGAGCCCTAAGGTCCCTTCCCAAGGCAGCAGAGAAGCAAGGGGGTGTGGATGAGTCAGGTGTCAGAGTCAGAACTGGAACCTGTCTGGTTTCCTGGCTACCAACACAGCACAGCGGAAGGTCCAGGGCTGTGAGGTCAGCACAAGGAAGTTTGGTGACTGTTGCAGCAACCACGCAGGCAGGAGTTGCATGCTGGCGCCAAATTTGCCGCTGCAGGGGGCATTCCAGGCGCAGACCCCCTGGAGGCAGGGCAGGCAGTGTCCTGGGGAGGCAGGCGACCTTGAGTGCCTTCAAATCCCAGCTCCACCTCCTGCCAAGTGCGCACAGCCTCAAGTCTTTCCCTGGCCTGGTTTTCAGCCCCTCCCCCTGGGAGGGGGGAAGCAAAGTGGGTGTGGTGCGGACAACCCTCCGCAGGCCCAGGGGAATTCTGCAGACCGGAGCTCCCCTGGCAGACAAGGTCAGGGAGATGCAGCTACTCCTGCAAACAGCAGCATCTAAGAGGAGGCTTGGCCCTGGGCAGCGATGCCAGCAGCCCTCACGGCCACATTTTTTTCCCCTTCTATCTGCTTGTTCACTTGCCCAGATGGCTGCAATTGCCCCAGGCTGGGTCAGGTTAAAGCTGAGAGCCTGGAGCTTCATCCAGGTCTTCCACCTGGGTGCAGGGGCCCAAGGACTTGGGCTATTTTCCGTTACTTTCCCAGGCACATTAGCAGGTAGCTGGATTGGAAGTGGAACAGCTGGGACTTGAACCAGCGCCCACATGGGATGCCAATATCACAGGCAGTTGTTTAACGCGCTGTGCCAGCCCCACCTCATAGCCACTTCTGCTGCTTGCCAGGACAGAAAAATCCTCTGAAGTGCTTTCAGCAGCTTGGCTGGTTTGGTACCAGGTCTGCAACCAAATGCATCAAAAACACAATTTCCTGGGGTTAAGAATGCGGCATTGTTAGAAGTAATGTATGCGGTTGCCCTTGTTGTTGGCAAAGCGTCTACAGCTTCCCACCTGAGCAGCATTGGGGTCCCAGGTGGCATCAGGGACCACTTCCTCCAGATCCAAGCCTCGCACTAACCAGAAGGACATGACCTTCCTGGAGATCTTGGTTCAGGTCGACTCATCCCTCGTCTTGGTATCCGAGATCCATAACGCCCCCAATTCTAAAACCTTCTGAGTGCCGACACGATGCCATAGAGACAGATTCTGCACCATGAAACTTTGCTTCATTCTCTAGGGTGAGCAGGTGCTTGGTGAGCACCGTGCCAGGGGTGCCTCTCCCAGACCTGTGGCTTTCTCACGCTCACTTTTCATTTGTCTCATGATTTTAGGTTCAATTTCTTTCGAGGAAAGCATTTAATAAACACAGCTTGAGTAGCCCTTATCCAAAATGCTGGGATCAGAAATGTTACAGATTCCCTGTCTTTTCCAGATTCCACAATACTCACCCATGCACACTGAGGTACCTTGGGGATGGGGCTTGATTCTCAAGATGGAATTCACTTGCGCTTCATATACAACTTATACACAGAGCCCGAAGGTCGTTTTTTTTTATACCATGCACCTGCTCAGCCTCCAGAGAATGGGAGCTGTGGCCCATTGGGGCAAAGGAGAGCACCACTGAGGACTGCTCTAGGGGGGTTGTTTCCAGACCTTCTCGTGGGCTGGAAGAGAGAAAGCAGAGTTTTCAGTCTGGACCTGCTGCTTCCCAGGGCCAAGAGCTCAGTGGCCTCCTTAGAGCAATGGCCCCAGGGCCTCACCCAATGGGGTGAGGTCCTGGGCCAGCACATCATCATCACTTACCTGTCACAAGTGTAGCTCCTCGGGTCCACCCAGGTCAGCCTCAGTGAGAACCTCTGAGGTGGGGCAATCCCTCTGTGTGCCGGCTAACCCTTGGGGGCACCCTGATGACCTTTTGAGCCTTTTGAGCCTGGCTCACTTTCTTTTTTAACTTTTATTTAATAAATATAAATTTCCAAAGTACAGCTTTTGGATTACAGTGGCTCCCCCCACCCCATAACTTCCATCCCACCCACAACCCTCCCATCTCCCACTCCCTCTCCCATTCCATTCACATTAAGATTCTTTTTTTTTTTTTTTTTTTTTTTGACAGGCAGAGTGGACGGTGAGAGAGAGAGAGAGACAGAGAGAAAGGTCTTCCTTTTGCCGTTGGTTCACCCTCCAATGGCCGCCGCAGCCAGCGCGCTGCGGCTGGTGCATTGCGCTGATTCGAAGCCAGGAGTCAGGTGCTTATCCTGGTCTCCCATGGGGTACAGGGCCCAAGCACTTGGGCCATCCTCCACTGCACTCCCGGGCCATAGCAGAAAGCTGGCCTGGAAGAGGGGCAACCGGGACAGAATCCGGCACCCCGACCGGAACTAGAACCCGGTGTGCCGGCGCCGGAAGGCGGAGGATTAGCCTATTGAGCCGCGGCACCGGCCTAAGATTCATTTTCAATTATCTTTACATAAAGAAAATCAATTTAGTATATATTAAGTAAAGATTTCAACAGTTTGCACCCACACAGAAACACAAAGTGTAAAGTACTGTTTGAGTACCAGTTATAGCATTAATTCACATTGCACAACACATTAAGGAAAGAGATCCTACATGGGGAATAAGTGCACAGTGACTCCTGTTGTTGATTTAACAATTGACACTCTTGTTTATGGTGTCAGTAATCACCCTAGGCACTTGTCATGAGTTGCCAAGGCTATGGAAGCCTTTTGAGTTCGCCAACTCTGATCTTATTTAGACAAGGTCATAATTAGCAGGGAGCAGGACTTGAACTGGTGCCCATATGGGATGCCGGGGCTTCAGGCCCAGGCTTTAACCCACCAAGACACAGTGCTGGCCCCTACTGGAGGTTTAAAAATCCAGGTGTACCTCACATTGCATTTCTACGGCATTGATAACCCATGGGGTATTGCTGTTAGGACAACAATGCCACCAGGCTCATAAACAGCATTACTGCTGTGCTGGTCCTGTGTTGCCGTCACTGTGGCCTACAGACCCAGGGTACCCTTTCAACTTAGCTTTAAGAAAATATTTCAGTCAACTCTTTAGCACATCCCAGTGCTCCGTGGGCCCATGTAGCTATGGCTACCATGCTGGACAGTGCAGATTCTAGAACATTGCTACCACGATGGAAAGTGAGCACCTCCAGGTAAGAGTAGACTCTTTAGGGCCGGCGTTGTGGCACAGTGGGTAAAGCCACAGCTTGTGTGTGACGCAGGAACCCCATAGGGGCGCCAGCTCTAGTCCTGGCTGCTCCACTTCCAGTCCAGCTCCCTGCTAATGGCCTGGGAAAAGCAGCAGAAGATGGTCCAAGTGCTTGAGCCCCTGCCACCCACGTGGGAGACCTGGAAGAAGCTCCTGGCTCCTGACTCCCGGCTCCTGGCTTCAGCTTGGCTCAGCCCTGGCCATTGCGGCCATTTGGGGAGTGAACCAGTGGATGGAAGACCTCTCTTTCTGGCTCTACTTCTCTCTGTAACTCTATCTTTCAAATACATAAAA